GTTGAAAGGCTAGTTTGGAGAGCAGCTCTAAGTATGGGTAGGAGGGCAGTTGGTGCTACTGCAGGGGCCACCAACGGCATCTGACCTGAACTTCAGAGTGAGGTCTAGAAAACAAAACAGAAAGAACTTAGTTCTTCTGAGTCCAGGGAAGCTGAGGGAGAAGGAGAAAAACAGAAAAAGGAAATTTCCTAAGCTCCCGCTATCTGCCCGGATTTTGTGTGTGTGTGTGTGTGTGTGTGTGTGTGTGGCCATTTTCAACAAGTACACTTCAGTGACATTAATTATATCATTGTGTTGTTTAATCATCATCATTATCTGTTTCTAGTTTTCTTCATCATCCTTAAAAGAAGTTCAGTGTCTTCTAAACAAGGAGTGAATCCCTCTTTCCTCTCTCACCACCTATTTGTGTTGTTGTTGTTAAGTGCTGTTGAGTCAGTTCCGACTCATAGTAACCCTGCGTAGGGTTTCTGAGGAATAGTTTATTGCTTTGATCTACCTACCTTGTGGATAGAAGTTCAGTGCTTATCCTACAAAACCACACCGGCACGCCCAACTACTTTTAATAACCACTAGTCCTGGTGTGGTTACGAATCGGGCTGCAAACCACAAGGTCAGCAGTTCGAAACTACCAGCTGTTCTGTGGGAGAAAGATGAGGATTTCTGCTCCCATAAAGATTTATAGCCTCAGAAACCCAGTACAGGGTCGCTAAGAGTCGGAACCGACTCCACGGTACTTAACAACAACAACAACAGTCCTGGTGTGGCACTATGGGCTAATGTGCTGGATTGCAAAGTAGGTTTGAACTGCAAGGTTGGCGGTTCAAGCTCACCAGCCACTCCTTGGAAACCCTATACAGGATCACTATGGGTCGGAACAAACTTGATGGCATTTAACAATAATAAACTTTGGTCTCTATGCACTTGCCTGTTCTAGGCATTTCATTTTAATGAGGTCATACAATATCTGTCCTTTTGTAACTGACTTAATTCACTCAACATAAATGTTCAAGTTTCGCTCATGTTGTAGCATGTATCAGAACTTCATGTCTCTTTACGACCGAGTAATATTCCATTGTATGGATGTACCACAGTTTGTTTACCCATTCATCTGTTGATGGACATTTAGGCTGTTTTCACCTTTGCTATTGTAAATAGTGTTATCTGGCAGACACTTTGATGATCACTTTTAGCTCACACAATGCCTATCATGTATGTATGTGCTGTTATTCCTAATTTAGAGATGAGGAAACTAACAAGATAAGTTTGATACTGTGCATAAGATCATATAGCTATTAAGTTTGTATTCTCTCTTCTTAAGCAAAAGTTTCTGGTTATATTCTAGATATAAATAGAAAAGAAATTCAGAAGTGAAACTTAAAGCATTCAGATATTGTTAACTCCACTAATCTGACCTGAAAAATAAGGCTGGAAATACATACACACATTATCTATCTATGTATCTATCTACGTATCTCTTTTTACATGTAGCTTCATCTCAAGAATCCCCCAAGTTATCGATAATTTTACTTCCACCAAACCAACTAATTGAACTTTGCTGAAAAGCTATTAGGAAGTGTGAAGACACAAATGACCTGGTGCAACAAATTGGTGGTGGTTATGTGCCGTGGAGTCGGTTCCGACTCATAGCGACCCTGTACAGGGTTTCCAAGGCTGTAAATCTTTACGGGAGCAGAAAGCCTCATCTTTCTCCTGCGGAACAGCTGGTAGTTTCGAACTGCTGACCTTGAGGCTTGCAGCCTGATTCGTAACCACTACGTTACCAGAGCACCATAGTTTTTTTTCCCCAACTATTTCATCATCACTGGAATGTGCTTGCAGTCTTCACAATGATAATATGTCATTTAAAAAGGCAGATTAGTATATAATAAGAACTGCATACATATGTTTTCTATTTCTTAACACACATTAAAATATGTTTTAGAAGAAAAATATTATTACTTGTACTGATTTGTTTTCAATTAACTTATTAGTATTCTTCAAAGCACTCATGTTTCTTGCGACAATTTGGAAAATGCCAGGTGTGCTTCATAGCATGTGAATGTGAGAACTAATGAGTTTGGTAAATGGAAGATGTTTAGACTAGTGTTTGACACATTGGAAGTGCTTAATAAATACAAGATAATAGTGATAATAAAAGCAATAATTTAATAAAAACAGAATATGTTTTCTAAAATTTGGGCATGTTGTCAAACAGTTTGAGAGTAGAGCGACTGTATTTTACTCTTCAATCCGTCAGCTATTTATACATTTACTCTTCAGTAATTTAGTAACTGACACATTTGCATGATTATGGTAAGAACTTGTACCTGGTGTGGAGCAAAAAGTTGATGCATATACTGAACACATGTGAAAAGGGAAAAAGACCAACTGGGAAGCTAATCAACTCTTAGGTGTGGTGTTGGGACTCTAGGGAGAAGGCAGCAGGTTTTTGTTGTTGTTATTAAGTACCGTGAAGTTGGTTCCTACTCATAGCGACCTTGTATATGAGCAGCAACTGGCAAGCTTGAACCGCTGACGTCTCAATTCAAGCTAATTTTGCAGTCTGATGCATTAACTCACTGTGGCACAGCAGGGCTCCAGAAGGTTTCTAGGAGCCAGGAATGACCCGGTGGGAGAGTAGGTGGAGTCCTCTCTTTAGGAGACGCTAGACTTGTTCGGGTTTGAAACCACCACAAGATGGCGCCAAATCCCAATTGACAGCCCGAGGCCGAGCTGGCCCTCGGGAAGGAGAGAAGACAGAAATGAATCTGTTCCTTCATATGAAAGATCATTTCACCAGAAAACTTTGTCAGAAGTTAAAGGAGGAAAAGAACCTGAGGAGGGGTCCCATTCAAGAGAAGGCACCTGTCAATAAAATTAAATACAGCATAGGATTAGCAATGGTCGGCAGTTCAAACCCACCCTATACACAAGGCTGCTTGCTATGAGTTAGAATCGACTCGCTGGCAGTGAGTTTGGATTTTTTTTTAGTGTTACAGAGGGAGTGCCCGGGTAGTGCAAATGCTAATGTGCATGGCTCCTAACTGAAAAGCTGGAGGTTTGAGTCTATCTCAAAGTGCTGTGGAAGAATGACCTGGCAATCTACTGCCAAAAAATCAGCCATTGAAAACCCTGTGGGGTGCAGTTCTACTCTGACACATAGAGACTACCTTCAGACTAGGAAAAAAGTGTGAGAAGGAGGACAGATACATAAATCTAAAAGATTCTGAATTGTTCCTAGAAGTCCCAGTGACGTCTACGTAATATATGTTGTTGAAATTGTTAAGTGTCGTCAAGCTGGTTCCCACCCATCGTGACCCTGTATAGGGTTTCTGAGGAGAGACTGGTGAACTTGAACCGCCGACCTTGCAGTTCAAACCAACTTTGCAGTCCAGCACATTAACCCACAGCGCCACACCAGGACACCTAGGTAATATATACATAACTTTAAAAAAAAAAAAAAAAGCACACTCTTGTCAAAAAAAGATACTTTTAATGACTTTTTAAAACCTTTTGATGGAAACCAGAGGAACATCTTTCCAATGACTTTAAGCATAAATCTGCAGAAATCAGGATAAGATGGAAACAGACATATCTTCCAGTGTTTTCTCTTTCTCTGGGAACAACCCAGGCCCTCCCCTCTGAGGCGTGAGCTCATCAGCCTCATTTGTACTGTCACATCTTGTCCCCTGGCCACATTGGACTCAGATGATACTTGTCCCAAGTTTGGCTGATCATGTTTATTTTTCTCAGGATGTTAAATTGTGACTAGGAGACACAAACCTTAGTTTTTGTGAGTAGCTAAAGTTGAGGCGATATAAATTCAGGAACTGTAGAACAGATGTTAACTGGAAAAGAGAGTCCACAGAGACAGAAGAATATGACCAGTAGGCAGAAGGACCCAGAGAAAGACCATGGCATTAAATGAACAGGACCCTCTGTCTCCTTTTTAGGTCAAATAGGAATCCAAGAGGCAAATTTCATAAAGTGCATATAAAATGGTCCATTCACAAGTAACACACAAAGAGCCTGAACTGATGAATGAAACAGACCCCGGTATCCGCTGGTCACCCACAATGATCATTACCCAGAATCCCCTCTCCCAGGTCCCAGCATCCTTCACACCCTGAGAGAATTGGCCAAGACCAAGTAAGAACGGTAAGTTCAAATGCCATTAAAGAATTTATTGCTGCTAGCCAGAGCTTTGGATAGAACAAGAAAGTGTGTGTACGTGTGTGTGTGTATGTATGTATGTGCTGGGGGTAGGAAGTAGATGTAGTTGGTACCCCACAAAGTCCTATCAGGAGCACTGGGACCAAAATGAGGGGCCATAGAGGATAGAGGTGGGTCCTGCTAGACATCAGTATAGCGAGGATATACTTAGTGGACTGTAGCGCTGGATATGCAAGAGCTTTTGAAGCCTGCTAGGAATCCACAGGATGCATCCCACAATCCTCTTCTCTTAAAAGTGTCGATACCTAAAGTAGTAAAGACCATATGACCAACATTGTTCAAGCTCACAGTCCTGGGCTCCTATCTCTGAGCACCCCACTTCTGCCCAAAACTCACTCCCTCATCCCACGTCTGTTCCACTTGGTATGGCACTTAGGATAAGCACTGGATTGCTAATCACAAAGTAAGTGGGTCAAACCACCAGTTGCTCCTCAGAAACAGGGTATCGATGAGTCGGAACCAACTTGATGCACTCAACAACTTGTCTAAAAAGGTCCTTGGCTGATGCAAATGATTGGCTTTCAAATACCAACTTAAAAGCTGGCAGTTCAAACCCACCATTGTCCCACAGAAGAAAGGTCTGTAATCTGCCTCCATAAGGATTATAGCCAAGAAAATCCTCTAGAGCAGCTGTACTTGGTAGACATGGGGTTGCACGAGTCAGAATAGACTCAATGACAACCAGCACTTGTCTATATCACCCCTCCCCAGTCTCTTTCCACCTCACAATTCTCCGCCCCATCCTGTTCGGAATCTTCCACTTTTCTTTACCCGGACTCCTGGGGACTTGTGTACCTGGGAACACTGGACAAGCATGTGCCTCTGATGAGGAGGATGGTGCCCATGAGGAAGCCCACCAGTCCCACAGCCAGGCCCAGAGCACAGATCAGGGTTTCTGTGGTGTGTGGTAGTGGGGTAGGCAGGTAGGGCTCTAGGAGAGAGAAAAAAAGAGTCAGGGGTAGGGTGAAGGGATTCTAGAAAAAAGGAAGCATAGGTTTGAGGATGGTAAATTGAGGAGGGTCTCCATACCCCAGTGTTTGAGGAGTGGCTTGTCCAGGCCCCAGTGTTCCACCTTGCAGTCATAGACGTCATCTGCTGTGGGCACGAAGGGTAAGTAGTAGAACTTGCGGAACAAATGGTCAGGCCGAGAATAGAAGCTGGTCTGGAACACCTCCTTGGTGGTTGTCTGACCATTGTGCAGCCAGCTGACGTTGATCACAGGGGGGAAGATGTTGTCCACCATGCAGATGAGGATGTTGGGCCGGCCCAGCTCCACTCGATATTTTGGGAGCAGCATCACTGTTGGAGGCACTAGGAGGAATGATGCGCTGAATCTCAAAGGCTCGTCTCTTACAGCGTGGGCCTCACTAGGGCTGGGATCAAGGGTTGTTTCCTCCTACTTAGCCCTCTGTGGGCAGGGGATGCTTTGGTGCATGGTGATAACTACTAGAATAGGAGGGAAGGGAAACCAGGAGTAGAGACTGAGAGGATAGTGGGGTCTCCAGGGTCCCTATATCTGACAGATCCCTGGGGGGAAGTCTTGGTGGGCATGTTGCCTAAGGGGTATGAGAGGAGCTAGAGACTCCGGAGAAAGGAAGAGGCTGAGGATAACAGCCATGGGTTCTGAGAGAGTGATGTGTCAGAGGGAGGATGGAGACAGTGAGGTAGGACACACTTCCTCTGGGATACTCCTGTCTGAGTGGGGCAGAGGAAGAATCTGGTACCATTGATGGCTTTGGTGCCATTGGAGCGTTCCACCAATACTTCTAGATGGGCTCTGATCATAGCAATGCTGGCCAGCCCACCCTGTGGGTCAAAGTGGGCAAAGTTGCTGAACTCAGGCAGACGCCACACAGCTTCACTTGTCTTCAGATCAACAGAGAATAGTTGTTCCCCATCAAATTCGTTGGTGAACTGACCCGAGGCACTGTAAGACTGATAGAAGGCTGGTCCGTAGGAGCCCATGTGGTCAGCTATATTAGGAGAGTTCAGGGACAAGGAAAGAGAAGAAAACGTATCATATCAATTATCCTTACAAGGCAACTGAGTGTCTGAAACTGTGGCCATCTTGAGTTCTGTGTGGGAGAGTCCAATTCTGACACTGAGATGGTCCTTGAAGTGCAATAGAGTTGCTGGAAGATGGAAGAGAGACAAAGGGAGAGAAGCAGGCACCTACCCAGGACACTATGGGCCACACAGAGACACAGGTCTAGTCTGGTGTACCAGGGGTTGGGAAGAGGAGAGGATGCCTAAAGTCATGCTTGGGATTCCCAAAGTTAACTCTTGGCTATGACCATCTGAAGAAGAAAAAATGACTAAGGACAGGAATGTAAATGAAATTTTGGATCAAAAATGTAGTAAAAGGGTGTGTGAAGAGAATTGAGTGTTGATTAGTAGGGTTAAGAATTGAGATTTGTGACAATTAGACCAAGAAAATAGAAAAAGGCAGCTTGAGGTATTACAAAGTGCACAGGACAGGGAGTCAGAAGCTCAGCGTTCATGTCCCAATTCTTCCACCTCAGACTGTTATGACTGAACATGTTTCTTCTTATAACCAAGGCTTGGTATTCTGGAAATTAGGATTTAGGTTTTGATTGGTAAGATTCCTTTGGAATTCTCTGAAATTGTTTGTTCAATACTCATTGAAGGACTACTGTGTGCCCAGCACTATGCCAGGTCCAAAAGAAAGACAAACACGCTGTGGATCCTGAGCACAGGAATTCACGTCTAGAGTAAAATAAAGACCCATCATTAGTTGACTATGGACATGGCAGCAGACAGAGAAATAGATATGGACTTCCAAGGGCATGCTTCAAGCCAAGAAGTGGTAGAGAAATCGGGATCCTTGGTAGCAGTAGAATGGAGGTTTGGGTCTCAGAAAGAAGGATGCAATGGGGAGGAAGCTGCTGAACTTAAACAAAACTTGAAAGAGATGCTGGTATGGCTGGACTGTGCACCACCTTTTTGTTAGGTCCAGAATGGATGTCATAGAGGTGACAGAGGTTTGGGGATCATTGGGTGAAGGAAATTGCCCATAAACCAGAGAAAGAAAGAAAGAAGAACAATTCATCCTCTATACTGTCTGCCTCATGTGACCCAACTCCCTAAATCTCCAGTGCCTTCAGTACTCACCCTGGATGGCCCCTGCTTTCTGGGGGCTCAAGAGAGTCATCAAGGTCTGGAGTCCCAAAGCTAGCACCTCACTAAAGACCATGGTCCTCTGGTGCTGAAATCAGATAACTCTCAGTCTGTGTGTGGGGAGAGGAACAGGTGGAGGTAAAAGGAAGAAAACATTTTCTAGAGACCCCTGCTGTATTCAGCCAATCAGAGAAATTCTCTAAGTCAATGTATCTGTTGCTAGGTAAAGAAGTTTACTAAAGGGACTGAGTGAAAAGATGGGAGGATTCACTGAGCCGTGTGGACCAGGGAGGCTTGATCTACTGGAAAGTTAAAAGGGAGTTCCTTATTGAGTCTAGGGGTGGGATGGACTTAGGTCATCTGTTGCCACATCCTCCAAGAAAGAATGCTCTGTGGAAGGAAAAGACCATTAGAGTACTGCAGTTAAGCACGAAGTCATCTTCTCTTTTAGTCTATAAAGCAGTTAATTCTACTTTACTTACACATCGCTGCAGACAAAACTGGAGTTAAAAAGAAAGAAAGAAAGAAATGAAGGAAGGAAGGAAGGAAGGAAGGAAGGAAGGAAGGAAGGAAGGAAGGAAGGAAGAACTTTCACTAAGAAACTTTAAAAAGGAAAATTGGACACTCAGTAGTTGGAATTGACTCGTTGGCACTTAACAACAATTGTTGGGTGACAAATTTTATAAATATTAATTAGACCAAGTGTGTCTATTTTCTTACCATAATTTATCTTTCCTTAGTTTGAAACTAACTTGTAAATCACTGCCACCACTTGCCTGTCTGTTGCACTGTGGTGGTTTGTGTGTTTCTGTGATGCAGTAAGCGATGCCATCAATATTTCAAATACCAACAGGGTTATCATTGGTGACAAATTTCGGCAGAGCTTCCAGACAAAGCCAGACTAGGAAGCAGGAGAGGTGAACTACTTCTGAATGGTTAGCCACTGGAAACTTTATGAGTAGCAGTGGAACATTATGGAGTCCTGATGTGGCGCTCTGGGCTAATGCATCGGACTGCAAAGTCATTTGAACTGCAAGGTCGGTGGTTCAAGTTCACTAGTTGCTCCTTGAAAACCCTATACAGGGTCACTATGGGTCAGAATCAACTCGACGGCACTTAACAACAACAACAGTGGAACACTGTCTGATATAATGCTGGATGGTGAGCCCTTCAGATTGGAAGACACTCAAAATGTGACCAGAAAAGAAAGAGCTGCCTCCTCAAAGTAGAGTTGGTATTAATGATGTGGATGGAGCAAAGCTTCCAAGATCTTTATTTACTTATGGGGCACAACACAAAATGAAAATAAAGAGCTTCAAGCAAATGGAAGAATTGAAGAGGTGCAAGAGCTGAACAGGAAATTTCGGGGATCAGCTCGAGAAGATAAAGCCAAGTACTATAATAAAATATGCAAAGATTTAGAGTTAGAAAACCAAAAGGGAAGAACACGGTCAGTATTTCTCAAGCTGGGGGAACTGAAGAA